GTCACCCTTTTTTCTTCTTCAAAATCTATGAACTAGTTCGGATGAAGGACCGCAGTCACAACCATCTTATCGAATCCTCATTCATAGTATTATCCATAAAATCTATAGATTAATTCCAAATGAAGACAGATCAAAAATCATAATCGTCTTTAAAAGAATATTCTCTATAGTTTTCAACCAACAGTTTTATCATTAAAACCTTTGAAACTCAAGAACAATCTATTCTTTCAATGGTTTCCAAAAACATCATATCCCTTTTTAAATCCTCAAAACAGGATATCATTTTCGAAACTGTTTTAAAGAAGCAATCCTTTCTTTATCTTTCCCAACACAGTTTTTAATACTCAAGTATATAACAATAACACCTTTAAACTATCAAAATAGTTTTACCATCTTTTCTTCAAAACCAACATAAAGACCCAGTAGTTTATATAACAATATATATAAAAGTTTTAATCATAAAAAATTCACCTTAATAATCACAAGTTCTGCAGATTATAAACACACAATAGATCTTTAATTAGCACAGAATCTTCAAATCACTTTTGTGTATTAATCTTTCTCAAGAATTCCTTCACTGCCACACACTTTCTTTTTCTCAAAAAGGTTCCTTTCTCTAAAAATCAAGATAAGGTATGATGTTATCTTTTTCCTTCTTTATATATTTTTCTAACAAAGGCAATGATGATTTTATTAAAATAAAACTCTTTGGCGGTGAAAGCTTTAACCAATAAAGGTAATTTAGGCGGTAAGTTTTTCATTATAAAATTCATGATTTCTTAACCATGAAGGTATAAGTTTTTAAATAATATAATAATGTTTCCACCAGAATATCTTATTACAAATATGCACCACCTCATGTATACTTCACACCACATGCATATATGTATAAATTACATACATATCATGCCATCTTTTCACATATATGCATGCACAATATCATGTTCACATTTCACATATATAGTTCTTGCATTTCTACTTAGATATGCATATTTCACGTAATCCACATAATAAACATGTATAAATTACCTCAACCCAGGTTGTTTAAAACCTGGTTATAACAAATTGGGATAGGATGACCTTTGTTGGAATATAGCATTTGTTCATGCGTACATGGCAACCCATAACTTGTACGTACTAGACAATTACAATTTTCAAAGAATAAGCCAACAAATTGAGCATGTCGATATTCCTGGAGTATTATGTCTAATGCATAAAGTGAAACAAAACCACACAGTTGTTGGAAGTGGGGTATGTGATGAAGATGTTTCGTGACACTTCTRCTCTCTTCAATACTTGCTTTAATTTATGTATCTTGGGACTGAATGAGTTGATTGATCTTGCTCATAAATGTCGATAGACTTGATTGCGCAGAATCCAAGTAAGTTTTCAACTTGGAATGTTGGCTCTCCACTCTGTTACTTGTCCAATTTCCGAAGTGGAGAAATTTGTCAGTCCAAACAGATACAAACATTTCTTTATATGGTGTCAACCATGTGTCATTCAGATAAACAAAAATAGCTGAAAATTTGAACAAAATTATTTCAATCTCATGAATAGTAATAATATATGATATAACTTAAAATAAATAATATATAAAGAATTATATTATATATATATATAATATAATATAATTTAAAATAATAACATAAATTATAGATATGTATATATAGGATGTGTATATTAATAACAATAATAATATATATTATATTATTTGATTGATTATGATCTTTTCTGTGTTTTAGTGATGATTCAAATTTTAAGGTATTCAATATCACCTATTAGGGGATGTCATTAGCACTCTTCTAAAAAATAGAAAATTTGGTTCTAAAAATGCATTTAGCTCTTAAAAAATATTTAGTACAAATAAAACTACAAAATCTCCCCTTTAATTAACAACAACATTCAACCCACTTTAATGCAAAAACGAATCATTTAGTGAACTAATCAATATATATATTAAAGAAGAAACCATGAGTTGTTGAGATGACTTCTCCTAGAACTTAGAACTTTATTTCTCTTTTTTCTCCTTCATTCTTTCAATATCCACTACTATTTTTTTTTTTTGTCAATTTATGTTTTTTACTTAAATGTTTGCATTTAACTCAAACCGTTCATCTCCTTCTATATTAATTCAAATCACATAACTCCAAACCATTCATTTTTTCCAATCAATCATTTATTTATATATATATAAACAACAACTTTTTGTTCATCTTCATTTCTCACACCCTCTCAAATTCTATCTCTTTCTTATACACCTCTAAATTTATTTTCTTTATCTTTGGTTTTTCTTCTATTTTACTATTGATAATCTTCATAGTTTTTTTTAGTTTTTTCACTTCTCCTATAATTATATGAATGTTTGTATCATTATTTAGATTGCATTATAGTTTTTATGCATTATGTCATGAAGATTTAAAGAAGTCTTCAAGTTCAATATTTGATTTTTTTTGTTGCAATATAAGGTAATAATTTTATATTGATGTGTTTCATGATTTGATTGCATTATAATTTTATTTGTGTTTGTATCGTGATTTTGTTTATATTATAACTCATATGCATTAGGTGAATATTTGAAGTGTTCAAGTTTACTATGTAATTTTTACTTATATTGAACTTGTTTTAATTTGTAGGTTTTCGAGTTCTTTAACTTTTATATATCAAGTCTTGAAAATTTGAAGTTTTCAAGTTTGGATTATGGGAATTTATGATTATGATCTAAGGTAAGGATTTTATGCAAGTTTGTTTTTGTAATTTAGAGTGTATTAGAATGTTATCTATGTTTGTATCATGATTTTGATTGGATTATATTTGTAAGTATGTTCTTATCGTAAGTTTAGTCATATGATAATTTTATGTATGTTCGTGTTGTGATTTTGATTGCATTATAATTTTATCTATTGGGTTATAAAGATTCGTAAGTCTTTAAGTTTGGTATGTGATTTTTTACATATCGTATGATTGATCCATTCACTATTCTGTTTTTAAAGTCAAGGTGTGTGTTGAGGATGAAAAATGGTACATGTACATCATTCTTTTTGGTGCTTATACATCGTAATCATCATTACACAAAACTAAGTTTTTTGTCGTTCGAAACTAAGACAATAATAATTTCTCTGTCTATGATGAATTCAATTTAAATTTCAGTTCTTCGGTTTTTGGCCATCCATGATTAGCTATTGTTTACAACAATCACTAAGCTTATAATGTAACGAATGTTGTTGCTTATATACCTTGCATTGTACGATTCCTCAAGATTAGAGGATATTATATTTCATTCAACAATTAATAAAATAATCATATGTTATTACCTATTATTTAACTGTACTATAAATTTAGTTATATCACTTCTTATATTGTGATTACACATCTAATTATTCAGATGACTCTATGTACATGAATTTATTTAAAAAAATCTGGAAAATAAGTGTTACAAGCTAAATTGAAAAGATTACTTTAGCATACACCTACGATAGTGCTCAATATTAATCATACAATACTTGCGGATTGCGGCTAACAATTTTTATACAAATTGAACTTCAATAGAATTATTGTTCCGCAACCGAAAAATATAAAATGTATGAATTTCTTTAGTTACAAGAAACAATATCAATGGAAAAAAATTGCATCAAAAACATCCCAACGTAATTACCGTCTTATATTACAATTTATTATGAAATTACGTTTCACCTTAATTTGATTACGTATTTTCTAACAAAACAAGTTTCATTACTATGCAACATGCAGTGTGTGAAGTAAAACCAAATGGTTGTTCAATGAAAAGTTTTTTATCATATTTATCTTTATTCTTTTTTTTATAATATACAATCAACATATTAATTGCTAAACCTTTCATTTTCCTACTTTTTTAGCTTAATTTTATTTATTTATTTATTTATTTGTAAATGAATTTGAATCCACAAATTCATAAAACTACATATATTTTATTTTATATCAATAACTGTATATTTTTAATTACATGCCAATTGAAAAAATAGAAGGGAAAATGGCCAAAATAACCATTTTATACAACCCACTATAACAAAATAACCACTTTCTAGAGACTTTGCAAAAATAACCCCCCAAATCGCCCCCTAGGGCGATCCACCCCCGGGGGCGAGCCACGTCATCCCATCGCCCACAGGGGCGATCCGGCCTTATGTTTTTTTTTCCTTTTTTTATAATACCAATTTCACTATAAATACCAACCTCCTACTTCATAATTTTTCATACCTTCCCTTTCATTTCTCTTCTCATATATACCCTTAACCCTTTAACACAATAAACCATCACAACCTTTAACCCATTAAACACAATCAACCATCACAAAACATGAAATCACATCAAAGTGATGATATTTGTGTGTATATTCGAAGTGGCGGTTTATTCCAAGATATAAATGGTGTTGTAGATTACCTTCCGATAACATCACCCACATGTGCAATACGTTTGTCTTCGCCAATAACGTATTYTGGGGTCGTCAAACGTGTGACGAAAAAGTTAAGTTTACGTGGTCCTTTCAATTTATTTTTTAAAACGAATACGTTATATCTATTTATGGACGACGATGATGTGGTAATCCTCCACAACACCATTCGTCAAACTTTACCAGACACTATATGTGGTCGACAATGGACGTTTTGGAGGAATTCCATCAAGTACAAACCCGGGTGGTCCAAACACTTTTTACCCCAGTGCTGTGAGCACACTCTTCCCCGACGTTAGCGGTGCAAACCCATATGATCCAAGCACACTCTTCCCTAACGGTTGTGCTCCTGGTGTAAATCAGAGCACTTTCTTCCCTAGTGGTGGCAGTGGTAAAAATCCAAGCACCTTCTTCCCTTATGACGCCGCTGGAAATTCATATTTAAAAAAAAAAAGTTACCATTGAACCTAACAGATATTGTGTTCAAGACTTGAACATGCCTCCGATGCAGTCTCTGAACTCATACCCGATCCAGTCTCTCGAATAGTCAAAACCGTTGTGGGAGGTAGATATGGACGAAGATGTTTCTGTTGCTCCCGAAACTTTGAACATACCCGAAGACGACGATAACTTCGATTATGAAGAAATCAAGTCGGTAAGAAATAGTTTTTGGGGTATACCCGACCCAACAACGTGTCCGGACCCAGTTATCAAAAGTAGATAGAGAAACATTTCCTACCAGTCTACATCCCATGTCAAAGTTCTCCAAACCTTTGACTCGAAGGAAGTACTTAAGCTCGCAGTGGGATTAAAGTGCATTCATGAAAACTTTTAGATGAAAGTAAAGAAACCTTCCAAACACCGATACGAGGTGGTGTGTCACTCAAATTCAGACTGTGATTGGCATTTAATGGTTGTCTCCATCGATGGTACCAGTATGTTTCAGGTACGGAAGCTCCACGATGAACACACATGTTCAAGGTCCCAAGTGGACCCAAACCACTGTAATGCGAATAAAAAGGTTTTGGGTCATATATTGGCAGAGATTTTAAAGAATTGTAGGAGAGTGTACCGTGTGAAATCATGGAAGATGTGAACCAACGGTTCAATATTAGCATCTCCTACCACCAAGCATGGCGAGCAAAGATGTATGTCTTGCAACTATTGAGGGGGACCCCTGAATCGTTGTTTAACCTACTCCCGATTTATTGTCACAATCTGAAGCTAGCAAATTCGGGGACTGTGACAGAGATTGCTCTTGATGGACTTGGACGATTCGACATGTTGTTTGTCGCACTCAGTTGTTCGGTAATGAGTTTTGTCATAATTTAATGTTCTGAACTTTAGATTTTTAATCTCATTCATCTGCAGATTCGATCATTTCTAGGACACATGAGACCGCTTCTTATAATGGACAGTGTCCATCTGAAGGGGCCATACGTTGGCACCATGTTCTTAGCGGTCGGCATGGATGGAAACAATGGGATCGTACCCATTACAATTGGAGTGGAGAAGATAGAAAGTGGCCCGTCATGGACATGGTTTTTACGTAAGCTTAGGCAGTATATCGGTGATATGCCCAATTTAACCTTCATAACCGATAGGGCTGCCTCTATTGACCTGGCCATACAAACTGTATTTTCTAGCGCGCACCACGGACTTTGTTGTCCGCATCTAATCCAGAACCTCCGCCTAAACTCCACTAAAGAGAAAAGTAAACGGTGGATGTTCTGGGAGGCATGCAAAGTTTACAGGTTGTCAGACTTTGAAGCTACTATGGATTTGATGTGGCAAAGTCTACCTATAGCCGCTCAATTTCTTGAGGAAGTTGGCTACGCTAGATGGGCACGATCGCACTTCCTGGATTGCGTTACAGTGCAATGACGTCCAATAGTGCTGAGTCCGTCAACTCAGTAACGCGGTTTGCACGCTATCTTCCGATAACAATGTTAGTTGAATTTTATTTGGCGACATTGCAACAATGGTATTTCATACATTGGCATAACGGAGGTAAATTCAACCATCCTTTCACTATATGTTTAATTATGTAACATATGCTAATGATATCAAATATTTGCAGCGCAAATGATGAATGCAGTGACTCCTTAGGCGGAGGCCAAATTAGAGAAGGGAATATATAGGAGCGCAAATTGAAAGGTATATCCCATCAGCGATTTGTTGTTTGAAGTTGATGACATGTATAAGAAAAGAACGTGTGATTTGAATGCTAAGACTTGTACATGTATGCAATGGCAACTTTCTGGAATAGCTTGCGGTCATGTGATATCTGTTGCTCGAAGTTTAGATATTCAAGACTGCAGTCAATTCTGTTCTGTTTGGTTCAATTTCAACTCTTACCCTGCAACATACGAGGAGGAAGTCATTCCCCTTCCATCAAAAGATGAATATGTGTTGCCTAATGAACATTTGACCGTCCTACCACCGCCTCCCTTGGACATACAAAACTCAGGCAGGCCACGTAACCACGATCGTATCCCGTCACGAGACAAGGAACCAATAGTGAAAACTTGCAGTCGATGTGGCTAGAATGGATATTTTTGATATAACTGTCCGAGTTCGATGCCAGCTCCTAGGCCGATGCACGGAAGTTCAAGTAGTCATCGAAGATCAATTAGTCGTCCAAGCGATTGTGGTCCGTCTGAACCTGATAATACACAAGACTATTTATTTGATACTTATAATTTAAGTAAGTAAATGTACAATTTTAAAGTGTAGTTTTGTTGTTTTAATGGGAAATGGAAGTTTGATTTAGAAATTCATGAACATTAACCGTCAATACATAGACAAATCAACTGAAACAACAACATTCAGACGTAACATTAAAATGAAGAACATCAACGACAACAAAAACATTAATACATAACATTCTTGTTAGTTTCCTTCTAGGTAAAGTTGTTTGCAAGATTCAATCCAGTACTATTTTTCATTAATCATTTCTTGCATCACTGGGTACCCATTCGCGATATCCTTCACAATTTTTTCCTCCGCTCGAATCTCCTTTTTGCAATTGCTTGATAGCTTTTTTCTTCTCTTCAATAGCTTCTTCGTGTTTATTTTTTCTCTCCCTGTTAGGCCACTAGTCATCGGTGATCTTCTTAATCTCTGCTTCGGCCTTTTTAATCGAAGCCTTCATCCTAGTAGGCATTGTTTGAGAAGACGATGGGTTTCCAGCCATTTCTTTCAATAAGTGGACAAGTAATTGTATCGGATTTGATATGAAGTTGTGATATATGATTTCACAAGGCATTCAATTTATACACTATCGGCCCTTACGATTTAATAAAGTTGGTCTAGTAGCTGGCATGGTGTTGTCAAATCCGGTTATGAACCTAGCATGACTTGTTAAATCGTCCCTGACATAAGGCTTATAAGATTCGTCTTGGCACCCTGACCCGTGAACATACCAATGCACTGTCGCAGCCTACGAGTCAATAGCTGGCATGGTGTTGTCAAATCTGGTCATGAACCTGGCATAACTTGTTAAATCGTCCCTGGCAAGATTCGTCAGTAAATCTTGCAAGATTCGTCCTGGAAAAGCCGAGCCTATAACCCTACCAATGTACTATCGCCCCCACTCTTTGCCTCGATTTTGGTGAATCTACCCTTAGGGGCGATCCATTTTTTTTTTCAATTATGTACTTGTTTTAGGGTTAGGATGTTGAAGTATGTTTATATCATGTAAATTTAACAAATCATGGAAGCTAAATCATAAAATTTAGTCGGTAATTCTAACATTGAATTTTACTGACAATGCAACCCCCGTACTTTGACAGTGTGTAACTCACAAACCGTAAGTCAGAATAATCCCGTATTTTGCAGTTCTAAAAATCTTACTGTATACTACAACTTTCATGAACGGTCAAGAATCCAATTATGACTCGAATTTGTTGGAACCGGTCGGTTTTTTTGGCTTGTTGCACACTTTTCGTTATTAGTATGCAGTTTTGCAAAATTCATATAAAATAGATGGATGATCCATACGAGACGATTCCAAAACTAATTTACTCGTGTGGTACCAACCTACAAGTTTGATTTAGAAAATATAATCTGGATTGGTCTCTGAGAAGGGTCAAAAATGCTTACAAAATGCATAAAGTTAATTTTTTTTTAACAAATTTCAGTTATGAACCTGCCATAAAGCTATGAGCTGTTAAATTATCTATGAGTTGTTAAATCGTCGTTGATATAAAGCTTAGAAGATTCGTCCTGAAACCCTGACCCATAACCCTACGAATGTACTATCGCCCCCCTCCCCCCTTTTGCCTCGACTTTGGTCACTCTACACTTAGGGGCCCATTTTTTTAATTTTTTTTTACATTATTTTGCAAAAAAAAAATATATAAGCTTCTTTGTTGGTGTCAAATGTTTCTATAAAATGAGTTCTTGTTAGAAGACATATTACTGGCTACATTTTCCTGTTTTCTTTAAAACAATGGACGGAAGCTCGTCTAGTTCTAATTTTAAAGTTCCAACAACGAATGATGAGTGGGAGAGGCTGGGAGAAGAATGGTGGAGAAGTCAACTACCAGAAAAAATGTCCGATGATTTGAGAGAGGCTATCAAGGACTACGAATTTAAATTAGATATACTACAGGAAAAACGTACAGACCTTGGTTCAAAAAAGGAGAAGATTGAACATGAGATGAACGAGCGAACGAGATGGATTGATGATACAAAACAACAAATTAAGCAACAACAGTGCTGGATTGCTGATGCATGAAAGAAAATCAAAGAGGCGGAAAACCTGAACCACGAGGCATGGTTCGAGCTTGAATGCAGGGAGACTGGAAGACACATTAGGTGGAATGAAGAGGCCATTGAAAAAAACATGTGACATTCTGTCATTCTGAGTTTCAGATTAGCACTTTATTATAGATCCTATATTTAGAATTATAAATTTACTAGGATCTAGTCATGGTGGTTAGAGTTCATCTGACTTAGTTCCCAAGTTTAAGTTGGAAGATCACGCCTCGGCGGGTATCCAATAAAGTTAACTTGTGTAATGTCAAATATTTTAGTAATTCTCCAAATAAAATAAAGTTGATATTATAAAATCCAAATTAAAAATAAAAAGTCCCATTTGAATGCCCAAATAATTTGACAAAAAAAAGGGTGAAGTTTTGATTTAATAACAATAATAATATTCCCAACAAATTGTATTTTGATATAAAATTTTATGGGCTTTAAATTGATTAAAAGGAAAATAATTTAAATGGACTTGGGCCTTTGAGACCGGCCCATTTCCTTTTCTTAATCCTTCATATAAATACCTCACTTCCTTTGAAAATTCTCATTTTCATCTATTTCATAAATCTCTCTCTCTTTAGAACACACCCTCCAGCCGATTTCACCTTCTAGCGCCATTAAGAGATTCATCCACTTTGTGGATTATTCAAGTTTTCATCTAAAAGGTAAGGGACTAGCTTCAGTAATCTCGTTCTTCGTCAAGATTTCTTTTTGTCCTGCACATTATTTCCTGAAATTTTATTTTATAAACAAACTTTCTAGAGAGTTTAAAGTGGGAGATTATACATCAAGGACATGGAAATGTCTTAAAAAATGATGATAATCTATGATCTGCAATCAATTAGAACTCAAGAAAAGTTGATAGAGGTATTTGCATGTTGATTTTTAATCTTAAAGTCGAGTTCTGAACTGTCGAGTTCTGAACGGTCGAGTTCTGAACGGTCGAGTTCTGAACGGTCGAGTTCTGAACGGTCGAGTTCTGAACGGTCGAGTTCTGAACTGTCGAGTTCTTGATGCAAGATACCGTGTAAAAAGAATTTTACTAACAGAATCTTGCATGCATCTCAAACTGGTTTATTCTATAAAAACTCGTTAAGAATAGGCAAATCTTCTTTTCGAAGCTAGTTTAATGTGTTAGCTTTAAAATAAATTTAAAGCTCTTTGGAAGATGATGATTTTTGACCCCCAAATGGCTACCAATCGGAGAGTGTGCAATCTGTTTTGGGGGCTGTTTCACTCAAAAAGGATAGGGTAATGATGATTACCCTAAACCTATCTTTAATTCTTGAAATTTGGACAAAATTCTTTTTAACTTCCTTTTATGGTAGATATAAAATTTGGTCATAAAAAGAGGTATAGAAGGTTCCTTTTTTGCTATTATTTGTGGAAACAAAAATGTCAGATTTAGAATTTACATTCTGTCCAAATGAAAGCTTTTAGTATAAAGGATTTAATTTTAAAATATACATTTTTAGAAAAATTAATAAAAATATCAACTTTAATTCATAAARTTCATTGGCATTGCATAGGATATAACTTGACTATATCTCTGTCGAGAACCTTTAGGTAATCTAATTCCTGGTCATTGGACAGTTTAGGAAGGTTAGGGCAGGACGTTCAGCGCTTGAGACGTCATCAAATCCTCAGATAAATTATCGATTTACATGTGAGTCTTCATGGCCCCACTTTTTAAGGCTTTTTGTTATTTAACTGGGGGAAAAACATGAGATTAAGCAAACTATACTGTTATTTATTTAACCATTGGACTAAAGAACTATTTAGTCAAACTTTGTTTGAAACCATCAGACTAAAGAACTGTTTAGTCATGTTTATTATGTCATGAAATATTGAATGTTTTAGCACTGTATAATAAATGCTAAATTGATGTGCTTGAGAGTATATTATCCAAATAAAGTCCCGTCCGTAAACGCTACTTGTTAACTCGGGCACGTCCCCGGGCCGTGGTATTGTGGATAGCCGCTATTGTGTTGACAGTCCCACCCAGAAAGGGGTGCACATTACCTATGTTTTCTTGGTCTAATCATGTGGAATTTGGACCACCGCTGAATTAGTACTGTTATGAATTGTGGGACCTAAGTAAGTGTACGAGCTACTTA